TGTAATTGGACAGCCACTTATGCTTAGGTTTGAATGCCAATCAGGTGTGCTTGGCGAGAAGGAATTTGCAATTTCAAAATTGACTCCAACGATTGCAATTTAAAGAAGAAAATAGTGCTTAATAAGAATTTTCCAAAGAGTGGGAAATCCTACCTATTCAAGTTTATTATGAAGTTCATCGTATGAACATTTTGGTTTATGACATTTTCTGTTTAGGGTTAAACTGTGCGAGTTTAAACTGTGCAGTAGGGGTGGCAATGGACCTGGATCTGGTGATCGAACCCGACCCAGGTACGGGTATGTGTCCAAAAATTGGACCCGACGGTCCATGTCCAAATCTTGGACCCGACATAAATTATTTAAATAATATTTAGTATATAAAATTTAAAGGGTGCGGTCTGTATAGAGCTAAGGCTCTAAACAATCAAAGTAAAATGCACCTTCAAATAGTGTCGAGAAATGTGGTTTCAATATGAAAAATCTTTGTGATAGCGTTAAAATATGTATTCATCTTTAATTATAAAATTTAATGCTTTAAAAATAGTGTAGATCGAGCAGAAATATGAAACTTGAAAATCTTGAAAATTAATGGTCCAAAAATGCGTAATAAGATGCATTAGTTCTAAAACTTGAAACCCATTTTTTTCTCATGTCCATGCATCTTGATGTTGAGATGATCAATTTGAGGATATTTGGGCATCAAAACAATCTCTTTTAGTAAAAATTTTGAGGTGGGGTCTAATTTAATTGTTTAGAGCCTTGGCTCTATATAAACTTTTTCCACATTTAAATAATTTATAAATAATACATGTATATATTTAATATAGAATATAAATATATTACTTATATATATTTTTATTTTTCAGTCGGGTCCAGATCTGGCCTGAACTTGACCCTCAGGATCCAGACCCGACCCGACCCAATCTATCGCCACTCCTATTGTGGAGCACATATACAATGTTCTCCCTCACTCGAAAACACCCATTTAGAAAGATATTTTTAGCCTAGAATTTTAGGAACCACATAAGAATTTTAAGAAATATTTCCAAAAGAAAAAAATTGAAGTTTGAGTTTTTGACACTTAGGTCTAGCCTTTTATAAATTAGATGGCGTCTATTCAATATTAAAGCATTATTTTTTTCTAGCGTACAGAGGGCTTATTTCAAAAAATACGTTTTTATCAAAGATTAGTCTATAAGTTGTAGAGATAGCAACTCCAAAATTTGAGATCTAACCAGTATTTCTTGCATGTGTTCTACCTGACAGAGTAGATGGATAGTATACTCCTACAAACGTAGGGAATCTTTTAGGTAAACTGTGTATTAAAACTGTGTGAGTTGGTAAACCTTCGAACGTCCAACTGTGTGAGTTGGTAAAACCTTCAAACGTACACAAAATAGTTAGTAAACCTTCAAACGTACACAAAATAATTGGCATACTACAAAATAGAAGGTATGACCTTTTGTTTATAGCAATTGATTTTTGAAAAAAATTTATGTAAGGTTACAACCTTAAAATATAGAATTAAAGATACACCTAAAAAATCCACAGAAAAATGTTGTTTTAAGTTTGGAAAACCTGCTATTTTTTTGTTTTTTTTTGATAAATGTTATGAGCTTTTGTTGATAAAGAAACTACCCAAACGGGATTACATTATCAGATATAGAAAGACAGGTAGCGATGAACCTAACGTATCCAAAGAATCCGCTAAAGAGTTGGCCTCCCTAAACACATGGGAAAAAGAATTTCACATCACCTCAGCATGATCCACAATTTGAGACCAAATCGAAACTAACTTTCATAGAAATGTAAGTCCTTCGTGCACCATTGAATAATGCAACTGCCAAAATTTTTGTTCTGCATAATTTTGAGCCCTTGAAGGAGAGCAAGCATTTTAGCTTAGTTTGCAATAGCTTCCCCAACTGATCCTACAAAGCTAAAAATAACATTCCATTCCAGTCCCGACCAACACCTTCAATACCTGAAAGGCCTGGATTCTCTAGAGAACTGCCATCAAGATTAAATTTCAAAATTTGAAAAACTTTATAATTGATTATCTCAATATTGATGTTTGATAAAAAAAAAGGACTTTGAGTCTCAGAAATAATGCATCTTGCAACACATTATCTAGACCGTTTATTTTTAAGATTTTCAAATATTTATAGATCTACTTGATTTTAACCATTTTTGAAATTTAAAATTTTATAATTAAAAAACACCAAAAGTATATATATGATGATGAAATTTGGAGGTGTGCCTTAATTGGATTTTTTACACCCATTTATAGATCGTTTCTTTTTTCTGATGTTCATATAGACATGTAAGTCGTTGAAAGGCAAATATATAGATATATCTTATCTTTGTAATATCTTTAATAATATGTTCAAGCGGGAGCATACTAAACTCCATTTGCTTATTCTCTAAATTAAAGGTTTATTGCATTTTTCAATTTTTTTTTTTTTTTTAATGATTTAGTTTTTTGGATAGGCCATGTTTAATAATAATGATGATGATGATAATAATAATTCACTGGACCAATTTTGATGTGCTCGACTGGGCTCAGGACCAACGTGGAACCATCTGACTTCATTGAAATCACTCAATTTGAATACAACGAAAACAACAAAAACCCATCAATTCCCAATCTTTCTCCCTCATTTCTTTATGAAAAATCACAAAACTAATACCAAAAATTGGTAGAGGTATTTCATCAAAACCAGTATAAAAAAATAATATCAATAGATACTCAATTAAGAAGCCATGTCTCAATACACATATTTATACAAAACAATGAAAGTCAATAATGAATATATAAAACAATGAAAGTCAATAGTGAACTACCCTGTTTTTTTAGAAATCCAAAAAATATTATTTCAAACAAATTTTTCGTATTTTTTGAAATTTTTGGAGGCCTGATCCTCCCGATCTATAGATCCAGATCGCCGACCAACAAATATGGTACAACAAATTTATTGATCCGGATCAGTTTTTTAGATTGTCCATCTGGGTTTTCAAATATTGGTAGTTATCAGATACATCCCATTCTTTTTCCCCAAAAGGTTGTAAGTTTGTAACAATACCAAAAAATTTTAGAATCTACATTTTTACCATTTTCTTTCGGAAAAATTACAAAAAACCCTCCAAAATACACTATCCATGCAACTTACCCCCATCCAAACTTTTTCTCTCACTTTTTTCCCCACAATAAACTTTCTATGCAAAACACCCCAAGGTAAAAAGTTTTTTTTTTAGACCGAAATACCCTTTCCGTGCGCTGACTATCAGACCCAAGTAGCACATTGTCGGAGCGCAATATGTAACTGTCGGAGTGCACTGTATAGAACATATACTGTTGGAGCATTCGGATACTGCCGAAGCATTGTGGCTCCAAGACAAGTACCGTCGAAGCGCCATATTCAACTGCTGGAGCGCCTCGTCTCGAGAACAAGCACTGTCGGAAGGCGTTTTGCAAATGCCGGAGCGCTGTTATCTCTAGAACATGCACTGCCGGAGCGCATGTGTCTCGAGTGTCGGAGCGCCCTATGCAATTGTCGGAGCGTTGTGGCTCCAGAGCATGTATGGCCAGAGCACCCTTTGAGACTGCCGGAGTGCGTTGTCTCCAGAACATGTACTGCCAGAGTGCCTTCTGCTACTGCCAGAGCATTGTGTTTTCAGGGCCAGAGCATCCTACGCAACTGCTGGAGTGTTGTGACTCTAGAGCATGTATTGCCAGAGCGCCCTCTGAGACTACCGGAGCACATTGTGTACTGTTGTGGCCAAATTGATTATTTTTTTACGGGAAGGGCATTTTCATCAAAAAAAAGAAACTTTTTTGTTTGATTGGTATTTGCATAGAAAGTACACTTTTGGGGAAAAAGTGAGAGAATAGGTTGGGTTGGGGGTAAATTACATAGTAAGTGTAGTCTTGGGGGCTTTTGTAATTTTTTTTTTATTTTGAAAAAGTATATATTGAAACCATTTACCTTTGGTACAGAGTGGTCATAATTAATCTTTGGCCATTTGACAACATTTATTTCATTGACCAAGCTCAAAGTTGAAAAGAAATTTTCTTGAACTTTGTGGCCATCAAATTTTACATTGCATGCAATCCTTTTTCCTTTCCCTGTTTATTTTTTTACCCCATGGCAGACTTTTTAGGGCTGTAAAGAGTTCAAGGGGCCAAGCCATCATGGTCATGATCCCTTGGTGCCTTACGGTCCTAAAAAGATCATCACGATCAACCATCTCAGTTCTCATACAATAGGAATGATTCCATTAAGGGGGTGAAGGGAGCATCATGGATCCAATGTGATGATGGTCTTTTGTAGGACCGCATGACACTCGGGAACCATGACCGTTATGCCGTGGTCCTTGGACATGGCTTTTCACCGCCCTAACACATCCATGAAAGAAATTTTAGGTGGAAAAAAAATGGTGGCAAAAACAGGTACAGACATAGATTTTAAGTAGGGGTGCGGTTTGTATAGAGCCGAGGCTCTAAACAATCAAAGTAGAGCGCACCTTTAAATAGTGCCGATGGTTTCAATATTAGAAATTTTTGTCATAGCCTTAAAATATATTTTTATTTCTAATTATAAAATTTAAAGATTCAAAAATAATGTAGATCGACCGGATCTATGAAAATTGACGGTCTAAAAATGCATCACAAGATGCACTATTTCCAAATCTTGAAATCCATTTTTTTCTATGTCCATGCATCTTGATGTTGAGATGATCAACTTGAAGATATTTGGGCATCAAAATCACTTCTACTGAAATTTTTGAGACAGGCTCTAATTTGATTGTTTAGAGCCTCGGCTCTATTACATGATCCATATTAGAGAATATATATCCAAAAAATCAGGTCCCCAACCCATCTAGAAAATAGATCAAAGAGGGGTCCCAAATGAAGTATCCACATATAAATTCTAGGACTCATAGAAAACTTCTTCTTTTGAAACTTGCAATGAGAACAGAGGTTGATTCCAGGGATAACCCCATTTTTTTACACAAAGAAAAGACTTTTGACTTCTCATTAAAAAGAATAGTATCCATAGATGCATATAAAATAAGATGGGATAATGTTACAGTCGGAGGAATGAGAAGAAGCATGGAAGGAACCCAACAAATTCACAAATCAACAGCAACCCAAACATTAAAATGCAAAATAAATAATCATCATTTTAGGGATGTTGAATCCATCTTCTTCAAATCACTAGTCCCAGTCTTCTCAAATAATCTTCAAACCCTGCGTGCACGACAAGGTTAGAGAGAAAGAGAATGTACATATGTGTCTACTTATGAGAGAGAGACCATTGGAACTTTTTCTTTTTTTTTTCCTTTGGCAACAGTGAAATTCTGCACTAGAGGCACAGAGAGAAAGTGTGTTTTTCTTATGCCTGTGTGTTGAGAGAGAGGGAATTACTGCTGGAATTCAAAATTGATGGTGGTAGCCATGTTAGGATCAGCAGTGGCTTGGAAGGCATCCGAGGAGAGGAGCATAGTTGTACCCGCCGCTGTTCGATAATCGACAATCCTAACTTGAATGGCAGAGTTGGCCACACACGGATCTGCAGAGGAGGCATCGCTCAGGCACCGCACAGTGTATTCCCTCCCACAGGCCGCACCGTTGTCCCAAATGCTGTCGCTTGCTGCTGCAAACAAATTGTTCGCCGGGAACTGCGAAGTGTCATTCCCATAACACTTTGTCGCTGCATCACGATTGTAAAGCAAATGAAAATTGAGTACAGAGAGATAGAGAGACGTCTCAACAGTAATGGGGAAATTTTTGGTTATGGCAATGAAAGTTTACTGATATTTTCATGACTTGTTTTTTCCTGTCATAATCATCAGGGAGAGATCTACTGGAATGTTGGACATATTTTGGCTATCACAAAGAAAAACCTCTTTGTTCTGACTTGTTTTCGCAATTTTTGATGGAATGACCAAGGGACATGAAATTATCAGGTAAGATAGTGAGTTTCCCAGGAGTGGCGTGAAAGTTTCTGTAATCTGAAGGAGAAACTTAAAGAACTCAAATGTATTGGTTACTTAAAATTTAGACATTGTGGGAAGAGAAAGAAATTAGGATACAGCAGGTTGCGAACTTACGAGCATATGGTGGATTATAGAAGGTAGCGGTTCCAACATCGGCGCTGCAACGGCCGAGCAAAAACAAGAAGAGTAGCAATGGGAACATCATTTCTCGGGTCATGGCAGCCCGCTCTCTAATCTTTTTCCCTCTAGAGGGAGAGATCTGAAACAAAATGCAGAAGCTTTATAGTCAATGATTGGATAATCATATATCCTTTGAATCAGAAGTCAATGGAAAGACAGAGAGAGAGAGGATAAGAAATGAATAACTTTATGTGATAGATTCTTCTTTTTGATGAAGCATTAATTCAGTTTGGAAAAACTTTTTCTGTGTTCATAGAAAATTGAGGGTGTTTTGGTCAACAACGTCAACAATGCCGGCTCCCACGGTTCTCAAAACCCAGAGTGGCTGGTATTATTATGAATACCCTTTGGTAACGGGCACTCATTTCACTTTTTGCCCCAGATCCCCTTTTTAATAGCAGAAATGCCTAGCCCAAGTCAGCCTTTGACCCAATTGACCAAGAGCTCTGGTGATAATCACTATGTCATGAACTTCTCATGCCATACCATAACGGCCCAAAATAAATAATGGAGAGAGAGAGAGTCTCCAAAGGAGGCTCGAAGTTTTATCTGAGCATGGGCATTTCGGTTGTTTTAAAATGATTGTGAAGAAAGATTCTAGAGCAGGCAAGTTCGGACAAATCTAAAACGGTTTTTGTTAGGCTATACCATTTAGTGGTGTAGATTTTAATAGTGCTCAACATTTTTTTGACATTAAAATACTTTTAAATTTTAATATAAAAGTTTTCAAGTTGGGACATTTTTGTCATTTAGAAAGATATAATAGATATGTTTATAAAAAAATAGTGGCATTCTATTAGTAGTTAAAAACAATTAATACATCTTGTATGTGATGTCACACACCATATCGGCGATATCGTTGTCCACTATTGTTAATAAATATTTTTGTTTCTATTAAGAATTTTTAGTTTATTTTTGACTAATTACTTAAAGGGAAAATTTTATATAGAGCCGAAGCTCTAAACAATCAAATTTGAGTCTATCTCAAAACTTTCACTAGAAGAGGTTATTTTAATGCTCAAATATCTTCAAATTGATCATCTCGACATCAAGATGCATGGCCATGAGAAAAAAATAGATTTCAAGTTTTGGAAATAGTGTATTTTGCAACACATCTTTGGACCATCAATTTTCAAGATTTTCAAGTTTTTATAGATCTGTCGATTTGCACTATTTTTTAGGCTTTAAACTTTATAAATAAATATAAAAATATATTTTAAATCTATCACAAAGATTTTTAGAATTGAAACCACATTTCTAAACACTACTTGAAGGTAGGATTGAATTTGATTGTTTAGAGCATAGGCTCTATACAAGCCGCACCCTTACTTAAAATACCCTTAAACAAAAAGTTACTATACTATAAGATAAGAGTATCTAAATATCTACAAATGTTGAGGGTCTATACCACATGGTGTAGCCTAACAAAATCCAAACTAAAATTAAAGGTTGGTTTGGATTCAAAGAAAAAACAACTCATCATTCCAAAAGGTTAACAAGTTTTCCAAGTACAAATTCAAAGACATTTAGAGTTTTCTCTCTGATGCCATGATGTTGTTTGGATGGTAAAAATGTATTTTTTCTAGATCCCCCACTCTAAGGGCTCGTTTAGTTCGTGTGTACAGTTTTTATATGCAAGCAATTTCCTATGAAATAGTTTTCCAATTTCATGTTTGGTTCACATGGGTAACCAATTTTTTTTTGGAATTCCTTTGTAACAAGTTTCTTATGTTTGGTAACTCATGGTAAACTATTTTCCTAGAATCTGGATTAATACCTATTTTTAACCGTTAAGTTGCAATGTAATTGATTTGATATCAACATCCATTCTATTAAGATGATTTTTTAAAAAAACATTCAATTTGTATTATGTTTAAAAAAATTGATGGTTTAGATCATAAGCTTGTTTCACTTTATTAAATTATACAAGCATCAAGCCTTGATTATAATCCACGCATCTTTTTTTTTTTTTAATATCTATCTTGTAAGATTAATGAAAATATATTTGTAGTAAAAAATTTAACAATACTTTGTCCATTCCAATGCATAAATACCTCTTTATTGCATGTTGTCCATATCGAATTCCAAAATGTACAACAGAAGTACAAGTGCAATGAAAAAAAAGACAAATAATGTTTTATACCACCACAACTATTGCATCCTAAACCCTATTTCGACATCACTCCCACATTGCATTAGCAATTTCTTCACATAACTCTATAGCAATGTCATCCTTGCTCTCATCAGGAGTTATGGGTGGTCCCACCATTTTATCAGCACGTTCCAATAAAGAAGTCATCTTCATTTGGGTTCCAATATTAGTTAGCTTTCTTGTTGGGCGCATTATTTTTAATAGGATGCTTAGAACCAACGGTTTAAAAAACGGATCGGTGACTCGGATCGGGCACCTCAAAAACCGATCAGGATCGGCGAATCGGCGATCCGAATCGAGAATCGGCTAAATTGGTCGGATTAAAGCTTTAAAAAAATCCGAAAAAATTATTAAAATTCATTATAATGTTGTTTTATAGAAATCCAATAAAAAAATGAGGGTACCACATTATTAACTTTCATTTTTTTTATTAATTTGTGAATATTGAGATGTTCTTTCCCGATATAAATTTATTTTAACTATTAAATTTGCATCACATAAAAGAAAAATCATAAAATTATCATGGATAAAATATATAATTATATATAGACTATTATAAAGAGTAGACTAATCAATGAAAGAATGACCATTAAAATCTGGTTTTGGCAAAAAACGCTAACCCGCAAAAAAAACCCAAACTATT